GGCTCTGCTGTTATGGATTGAAAACTGGTCTTATTTCTGGGTTTTGTTCAGGTTAGAATTTTTCTACATATCTGTTGAGCTTTATTAATGGTTGTTGGTTGTAGCATCTAAGAAACCTGGACTTGATCTAGAATGCCTTTGTGCTGGCTGTTTCAGTAAGGAGAATTCCTCTCTGCTCAGGGAGTTTACTGCCTAAATGCAAAACAGGCTGATAGATGATACAGGGAGACAAGGACAGAGTATCAGTCAGGCCCGGGAACAGAGGACAAGGTGGAGCATCAGCCTTGTTTCATGTGTGATGCAGTCCCAGGATATCTGATTGTGCTCCCCTGGTCTCAGAAAGTCTCTGTTACTCATCTTGCCCTGAGGGGAGGTAGGGAGGGTTGGACACACTGTGCTGTGAGGGTGTCCTGGGGCATCTGCTGTCTTGTCATCACCTGGCACGAGTGACCAGGCTGGTCTCAGCTGTGCTGGCAGCATTGCTGGGTTTTGATTTGGCCCAAGTTCTCCAAAATCAGGTCTAAGTTTCCTTGCAGGTATTACATTATTGTAGGAGGCTATTGCATATTTGTTGCTCATGTGACACCGTAATTAATGTGCAGTGCTGGCTGTTGACAGCACACCTTGCCTTGTGGCACCTGAAAGGGAGGAAACGCTCCATCAGCAGAACACGCTTTGGTGCTGCCTCTTCTCCTGGGCCAACAAGTAATTTGGAAAACCCTCTGGGCTGCTGGCTTCTAATTGAGCTGCTGTGCTGTGCCCTTGTCTTAGCTGACAGCTTTACCAGCTTCACAAACAGCCACACTGGTCTGGGAGTCCATTCCAGATCCTCCCCAGACATCCCAGTGGGTTCAGGCACCTCTCCCAGGGCCTCCCCCGGGCAGGATCCTCACCTGGGGCTGTCAGCTGTGATGGTAGCACGAGCCAGTGGTGGCCAGGACGCCAATGCCCGTGTGTGTGTGTGTGTTCCAGGGAAGCTCTACGCCGTGGGGGGCTACGATGGAGCGTCCCGTCAGTGCCTTAGTACCGTGGAGCAGTACAACCCCGCCACCAACGAATGGACCTACGTGGCTGACATGAGCACTCGGCGCAGCGGGGCAGGTACTGGCTCCCAGATGTGTTCTGAAGAGCAGATGAGCGCCTGGTTCTCCTCTGCTCTTGGAAGGGAAGTTAAAAATGTGGCTGCGCTGGCAAGTGCAGCCTGTTATTTGCCCTCCTGCCCACGGGGAGGGGGTAAAACCGTAATTGCTTGGAAGCTCTCAGCAGCTCTCCTGATTTCGACAAAATCCGCCAAATTGTGAGTGATTTCTGGATGAATGAAATAATGCTTGGTGTCTCTAAGTAGTTCTGCTGACAGATGTGTCTCACTTGTAAGCAAAGAGTTCCCTCCCCCCAAATCACCAGCTGCAGGGTCAGCTGAGCACGGGAGAGCCAAGCTACACCTCCCTCTCTGCTATCACTGGGGGGGCTGTTGGATGGATTTTCATTTTGGATCTTCCTGCAAGCATCCAGGGGGTGCTTTGCAGACCTTTGCATCACTGGGTGATGTGCAGACCAAAATTCATCTCAGATTGCCCCTGCTAAGCTAATTTTTAGTGTATTTTTTGCTGGCAAGAGCTGATCTGGAGGATTAGAGGAAAAGATGTTATAAAAGCATTATATTCTAGTCTTGATGGTTTCTAACTTAGTACATAATGTTAAGCACGATCTGCTGCTCAGCTCCAGAAATGACACTGTGCTCGGCGCTGCCGGCACTGCTGTCCCCGTGCTGACATCTAGTGGGGACCAGGACAGGTGTCCCCAACTCCCTGGGGTGGCCCCAGTCCAGGCTGTGGGGATGTGCAGGCACTGTCTGGGTTTAGTAGAATCACAGAATCAATGACAGGTTTTCAACTTGGTCTCCGTGCAAGGGTCTGTTCTGGGCAAGGGTCTGTTCTGTCCTGGGAAAGGAGAGGATGGGAGCACCACTCGGGCTCAGCAGCTGCTGTGCCACCAGAACATCCCCTGGTGGTGTATCCCGTGCCAAAAATATGATGTGTCACACTGCTCTGAGGCTTGCCATGGCCAGCAGGAGCACAAACCACAGCAGCTGCCGTGCTCCAGCTGCAGGATGGCAACACAAGGTGGGGAAGGAAACAATTAGAGCATTACTGCTCCCCCCTCACCCCAAAACAGGCCAGAATGTAACTGCGACCAACTGATGAATTAAAGCTCCACCAGCCACACCACTCTTTGGGGACAGGTCTATCACCATCACCTCTCCCTTCTCTAGACTCTCTTAACTTGCTGCTGCTGGGTTTGGTTTTGACCAGACATCTCACTCTGTACCAAGAGGTACTGAGATCCCAGCATGGCATTGAGATTAACGGTTCACCTCTGGCAAACACATAATTAATCTTTAACTGCCATAAATATCCACCTTACTGGGCCAAATCCTTGGTCTGGTTGAGACAGTCCAACATCACTTGGGAAGGGCAGAAAAAGCCCCAGAATAAATCCTGGCTCCTGAGCTGTACAAGGTGTCTCCCAGTTCACTGGAAAATGGGAAGTCTCTTCAGTGGTGAGTAAAGCCTACTACATCTGAGCCCAGCAGCCTGGGTTAGCAGCACCTTGGCGTTTGACTATATTCAGCTCTTTTATTTTATACTTCTAAGAAATAATTTAATTAGTAAACTAATTTAAGCAAGTAAGAGAGTAAAAGACTCAGAAATGCTCTAAAAGCTTTTCCACCTAAAACTACCTCCCTGGGCAGTGAGACAGGCAGGGCACACACAGACAGGATGTTCCTTCCAGGAGGGGGAGAGAGAGAATCCCAAGCTGGTCCAGCAAACCCTGGAAGCGTTCAAAAAAATGAGCAGATTTTTTTTCCACCCTAAATGCTGACTTTGGGCTCTCTTGGCAGGTGTGGGTGTTCTCAGCGGGCTCCTCTACGCCACCGGTGGCCACGACGGTCCCCTGGTCAGGAAGAGCGTGGAAGTCTATGATCCAGGCACAAACACCTGGAAGCAAGTGGCAGACATGAACATGTGTAGGAGGAATGCAGGTAACCACGACACACCTTCCTGCAGTGTTTGGGTCAGTTGCCTGTGAGGTTTTTGACGCAGTGAATGTGCCGGTGCCGTGAGTGACAAAAGTGGAAGACAGAGCATCTGCTTGGGAATGGATCGGAATGTGGCATGAGATGTTCTCTGGGGGGTGAGTTAGCCCGTGTCTGACCGCCTGTGCTCTGCTTTGAGGTGTGTGTGCGGTGAATGGTCTGCTCTACGTGGTGGGAGGCGACGACGGCTCCTGCAATTTGGCCTCGGTGGAATATTACAACCCCAGCACGGACAAGTGGACGTTGCTGCCGACCAGCATGAGCACAGGGAGGAGTTATGCAGGTAGGCAACCAGTGGGAGAGCTGGCAACAGCTGGGCTCGTGCATAAACTTGAGGGCTGTGCTTCCTGAAGCTTTAATCTTACTTTTTTTTGTGTGTGTGTTTGATGTTGGTCTCAGTAGAAATAGCTGACGTCTCTGTCTGCTGGCCTGCTGCTGGTCTTTGGCTTTGCAGGGTGATCTGAGCCAGCCAGCAGTAACTGTGTCTGTTTGTCCATCCTTACAACAGGTGTGGCTGTGATTCACAAACCCTTGTGACACACAATCAAGCCAATGTGAGGAGCAGAAGTGAAGCGGATCCAGCTAGGTGGCGTTGGGAAGGTGACCGACCTCTGACTTGACCCATCTCATTGCCGTCAACGTCTTAGCATGACAAGTGATACGTTCCAAGCATCATCCACCCCGTGGTGGGTTGCATAGCCAAGTGAAAAGCCCTCTGGGGGACATGTTCCATGCTAGACACGAGGTGTTGCTTGTTTTCTGTGGTGCAATCAACCGTTCTTCTCAGTGGCGTGTCCCGAGATAAACGCTGTGCTTGGACTGCAGGCACGGAATTACCTGTTTGAAACAAAACTGCTACGTTTGGGCACGTGAGTAAACGTGAACATTCCTGGATTTCCTCACTACTGATGCTCCGTGCACATTGTTGGCTGAACTACTTACTCACTGTGCCTGGAGGGTGGACTTCACTACTGGCAGTGGAAACCTCTTGAGTTCCAACTGAGAAAAACAGTCAGCAGAAATGGACTGGAACAGGGTGCTCTGGCTCGAGTGTGACGCTGTCTCAGTCATACGTTTGTACGTGCCACTGGACTGCCTGTATGTACCCCTGAAATGCTTGTCCTATGGTGGAAATAAATACCTTGTGATTTTTCTACTTGCCATGAATGCTGTGTGCTGTACCTGACGGGACCTGCTGGGCAGTGCCTTCCCCTCGGGGCTGCAGTCTCAGCCCCTGAGCCACATAAAACCTCCCAGCCCCACAAAACACGTGCTGCTCCCACAGGGTTTGTTGCTCCTGTGAAACAAATGTTGCTTGAAGAGAAAGTATTCCTGACCCACACGTTTCAGCTGTGCTGAAATCCCCTGTTCTAGCTCTGTCCAGCTTCTCAATGCCATTTCATAATAGAGCATTTAGATGTTAAAAAAAAATACCTTATGGTGCCATTATTGTGGAGACATTCCATACAGAGAGAACCCTCTGTCACCCAAGCAGGGATTAATGAGCCAAGTGAAATACCTGCAGTGTTTTAATGCTTCCAGAGCATGGAGATTAACTAATCACTGTCACTGTAATTGCTATTTTAATCTTGCCCTTACTGAAGGCATTCCTCTATTAGTATGAAGAACTCATTTTTCAAAAATTTTCAAAACAGACAAATGTAGCTCCAGCTGTAGGAGAGCTGTCTTGCTTATACACCAAATTCTTCTAAGTTTTCCATTTAAGAAGATGTTTGACTTCAAAATCCTTTGTTGTGTCTCCTTGTGAGCTCTGGCAGGGAGTGGGCTCTCAGAAGCTTCCCAGCTAAAGGGAGCTAGTGAGGAAAAATATTTTCTCTAGTCTTTTTCTTGTTATTTGTTGTTGTTTTTTTGGTTTGGTTGGTTGGTTGGTTGGGTTTTTGTTTTGTTGGTTTTTGTTTGTTTGTTTCTCTCCTGTAGATCTACTGAGGCTTTTTGTTGTGGGCAGCTGGCCAGTGTTTTTCTACTGGTTTCTGTCTCCATAGATCTGTTATCAGAAAGGCTCCTCATGACCTTCAACAGTGGAAAAGAAAAATATTTGAAAGTTTCTTTCAGAGGGATCCACGCTACATCATCTTGCGCAGCTTTAGTAGAGGAGTGGGTTACTTCTGTAAATATGTAGATCTTTGGTTTTTTGAGTTGAAACAGTCCTTGTAAGGTGGGTTCACTGTGGGGGAAACAGCACCTACCTTTGCTGTGTCACCCCCTCCACAGAGGGACTGGCCTTGCTGGGGGATGTTAGGTAGCTCCCGCTCCTCTTTGGGTGTTCTTGTTTTCACAGAGGCAAGCTGTCCAAAGAAAAGGCAGTATTATTCTTGATGTCTACCCTTCCATTGCATGCCAGCTCAGAAATCTTGAAAACAATAATTAAAAAAAAAAAAAAATTATTCATCTCTCTAATACCCTTTAAACATTTTGCTTTGGGTTTTACGATCTGCAATGAGATGTGCCAAAATAATTGGATGACATGCTGCTCTTCTCTGAGGTTTTGCTTACTGTCAAAGCCACTGAGGGTGGCAGGAATGTATCCTGGCAGGAATGTATCCCTGAGTGCCACTGCCTGTGGATCAGTGTCCTGAGGTGCATCTTTACAGTGACATGAGGAAGGTGATAAGGCCCCAGTTTGGACAGACTCAAATTCCCTGGCCCAAAAGTGGTTCCTTTTGATGCAGCCTGTGGGAATAAAGGATAAAACAGGACAGGTTTTGGTCAGAGGGAGCATCTCTTGTTAGGCTGAGGTGACTGGACAAGGCTGGACAGATCTGTACAGACATAAAGCTAAATAAACTACTCTGTAAGCTGCTGCAGAGCCCCACCACAGCTCAGCAGTTGGGAACAGTCCCCAGCCAACCTTTTCACACCTGTGGCTTCACTGGAGCAAAAGCAAATATTATTCAGGGACTCTTGAGTTTCTGTGGGCTGGAGATAAAATCCAGTAGGTACTGCTGGAGAGGAGCAAGTTTGAAATCTGCTGTGGTTGTCAGATGTAGAAAGTGGATATGCCTGAAGGTGGGATAATTTTATCCCCTGCTGTCCATCTATTCACAAGATACTTTCCTTATGAGGAAAAGAGGTTTAGGTGTTTTTCTGCTATTGTAAAATGGCATTTTTGCCCACTGCTGGCCTAGACCTGTGGCTTGCTGGACAGGGCTAGGACTCCCAGCCTTTGCCAGGGACGAGTGATGCTGTTCCCAGCTGCAGCCAGTTCTCCTCGATGGCAAACGACACGTTTCCTTCTCTCCTTCTCAAACAGTTGCAGTGTTATGCAAGTCAAGTGACCTCGTTTTCCAGCTATGCAATACCAGCAACCCTAAAATGTGATGAACCAGCTGTAACACCCCCCCCCCCCCCCCCCCCAGCTCCAGAAATGCTTTTGGAATTTTTCTTTGGCCTGTGGTTTCGTGTTTGTATCGTTCATCCTGAGCACCTGAGCCAGACCCTTTACAGATTGCCTTTTTCTAGGACTGAAAACGTAGCGTTAGCGCTAACAAATTTTACTGTACATATTTTTATAAGACAGATTTTAAAGAATTTTTTTTTTGATTGCTTTTTATGGTGGTCAATGACACTTCTGTTAAAATTCTGGATCCGATTCGTGCACTCCAGTGTGGTTTTTGCTGGTGTGGGTGTGACTCTGTACGTTCTCTGCACGAGAAATGCCGTGTTGGAACTGAGATCTGGGATAGCTCTTGTGTTGATTCTAACCTATGAGAAGGGCAGCACTGGGCTCCACATTAGGAGATAAATTCAAACCCATTACCTCAGCCACCAGTACGCTCTTAGATTGTTATTTTGCAACGATTTCAATACTCTGATTTATTTCCTTGTGCCACATGATTGGTTCCCGGTAGGTTTGGGGGACAAGCTGTCACTCGACCGTTCTCTTTCTTGGCTCCTGTGTGAGCTGCTTGAAGATGGAGATGCTCTGCCCAAAACAGTGCAGGCACAAGCCCCTAGGCTGCCAAAACCAGCCCAGTTATTGCAGGAGGATTGGTAAAACTTTACACACCAAACCTGGGCTGCTTCCTCGCATTGATCCTTTGTGAATATGAAGGCTTTCCTCAGCTGCTGTTGTCCCCTCTTTTTGGGATCGCCTTGTGCTTGACCCCCTTTGGGATTTTCTGGCCTTGGGTTTTCCCAAAGGTGGCTTTGCTGTTGCAGAGGGTGCACCCTGGGGATGTGCCCCCCCCAAAACCCCAAGAGCATCCCCTGTGGGTGCACACCCCACTGGGCAGGATAGATTCGCCTCAAGCGATCTGTTGTTTGGAAAAGTTTGAATCAAGTCCATCTTTTCCATTCGTGCCTAATAGACAAATTGGGGGTGATTAAACCCAATTTTCACTTCGTTCAGTTTACCCAAACACTTCCTTTGTACAGATGTGTGCAGCGTGTAATTACCACGAATACACTTGGCAGCGTTTGGGTGACACCACCACGAAAGCTCAGCACTGCTCTTCGGTTTGCAGTGCTTGGAGACCAAAACCCTTAATACCCAATGCCTGTTCACCAAGCTGACACGATGGTTCAACAGCTAGATTAGCCTTTGGGATTGTTACTAACATATTATCGAAGCAGTCGCCCCCTTGGTATAACATCGTGCCCCCAAGTCACATTCACATGAGCATAACTTGTTGCTCAAAGCTGCAGTGCTGGGAGTGTGCTAGGCATTACAGTCTGAATATGGGCTAATTCACTTTTTTTTTTTTTTCATCTGCTCTTATCTTGTTTATGGGTTTATAAATTATTTTCCTCTACCGTGACAATAAATAAATAAATATTGAGAATTTTTATTTGTATATTTTATGTATAAGAAGACCCTTAAGAGTAATGAACGATTGTGAAATAATTTACCTGGGTGTGAAATGTTTTGGTTTTGTAAAAGAGGCTTTCTTGGTTCAGTAGTTGGCAGTATACCATAATGAGTTGGTAGGCTGTTTAACCTTGTTTTTTAAATTAAAGATATTGTTTTGCATGAGTGTGGAGGACCAAGGACTTTGCAAAGTAATTCTCTTGACAGCTGTCTTGTCCAGCTTGCGACGAATGACTCAAGAAACATTCATATTTCTATTATGAAAGAAAATCACACTGTAGTTCCCCATCATTTAATTTGAATAAAACCTGAACTAATGAAACTTTTCAGGGTCTGTTTTGATTTCATTGGCTTCTGACAGCAAGGAACAATCTCATCACTCCAATTGACTTTATTTTCCCCCTCTTTAATCACAGCAGATAAAAACCCTGGATTTACTTGGTGCCCTTTGGCCTGGGGTAGTGGTACCCACACGTGCTGATGCTGAGAGGAGATGCTGCCCTGATCCTGTCTCAGACTCTGCTCTGTTCCTTTTCCAAGGGAATTTAAAAGCTGTTTTCCTTCTGGGGTGCAGGAGAAGAGCATTTCTTTTGGGGGTGGGAAAGCCCTTGGTTCAGGGCTTTCTGCTTTCTGCCTTCAGATGGCAGAAGGCAGAACCTTTTAGGGAATGCAATTGGGAAGAGAGAAAACATGAAAAAGGAGAGTTTATCCTCATGGGCTCAATATTTCTTAATAACACCATAAAGTAATACATTAAACAAGTTGCCCAACTCATTTTGCCTTATGCTTACAATACATCTCACTGAGCTCTCTGGTTTTCCAGAAATGTTCCTTGTGCCTCATCTGTTAATACCAATGTATGACATAAAATTTACCATGTGGGATCCTGAAATTTAATTACCTGATGAGCAGATAATGACATATTGTGGGCTGCTCTGTGCAGCTGGAGGACTTCACAATTATTCCTTATTTTACTTCAAAATGACTTTTCTCCTGCACAGGTGGCTCCTTTTTATTCACATTTAAACTGATAAACTTATAAATCTGTGAACCTGCAGCTGAAGAAAAGCCTTTGCAAAACAGGGAAAAAAAAAATCTCACTGCCTTGATTTTGCTGTCTGATTTTTTTTTCCCCCTGCTATTGTTGTTTCTTTTTGTAGCCTACATTTTAACCTTTTGGCGTGTGTTCCACCCCAGATTTTACCCTTGGCAGGACAGGGACCTCATAGTAGTGGCTGCCACTTCGCCTCATTCACCTCAGAAGGGGAAGTATTTGCAATTACAAAAAATAAAATCTGTTGGATGCTTCTGAAAAAGCCTGTGAGAGGGAAAAGACCACTGCAGACACACTGCCATGAACCACCCAGGGCTCCCAAAGCATCCCACAGTTGCTCAGTGACTGATGATATTGCCTCACAGAATGTTATTCTGCACTGTAAACAAGCACAAAATCACTTAACTACTTAGTGACACGAAATATTCCACGAAATTTGCCAAAGTGATTAATGTCAACGTTCTTGTTCAGCAAATTGAATGAGATTTAATTGGCACAGCTGCTGAGGCTCACTCAGTGCATCTGATTTGGCCTCCATTTACAGAATATGAGCCTTCTTCTTTCACTGCAGACCTCCCCAGCTTCTGCTCAGCATATTGCTCAGTGAATTACAGGTCTTAAATGCTAGAGCATCCTTTTTTTTTTTTTTTTAAATCAGTAAATCTTCTAAAAGGGCCCTTTTAAACATGTACAACACCTGTCCCAAAGGATCTGTTCTTCTTTTCTAACCATAAGTGGTTTAAATATTACTTTTCTATGTATTTCTTATGCTTCTTTACATTATCCTCTTTCCACAATGTTGTCTCACCCAGTGGTGAGTTTGTCCCACTGGACAAATGCAGGAATGTAATTTAGTGGTCACAGCACCAGGGCATTTTCTTCCCCTCTGCAGTTCTTAAAATCTCCCTTTATCTCTGACTTTGGAAGCAGCAAAGGCTGCAGGGTGTGTCATGGTCCAGTCCCATCCCATGGACAACCCAAGCAAAAGGGAGGTTTAACAGCCTGCAAGAGAGGGTAGCACGAGCAGGCTTGTCTGAAAGAAGTGGTAATGGCTCAAAATTCACTCAAGTGACTGGTTACATAAGCTATTTCTAATATCTGTATCTCGAATGTAAAACACGCTTCTTTTTTTGAAAGCCTACGTGACACTGGGAATAACCTGGCTTATCTAACACAAAATGAAACCATTGTTTTTATATGCTTTGTTAAATAATAAAATAGTGGGAAACCCTCTGGAAGCAAATTACTTAAAGCAGAAGCACCTGCTTGATAACTTAACCTTAATTGGGATCAGTTGGTTCAAGCACAGGTGTTGCTGCCTCGCTTGCATCCACCCCTCCCCTCCCTCCCCAGGGGAGCTTTGGTCACTGTTCTGGGTTGTGTCCTGCTTTTTCTCTGCAAGAAGTGCCTTATACTCCTTGCTGGTCCCAAACAACTCGTCCCACGAGCTGAAAACAGGGAGCAGTTTCTGTGGAGGTTGCAGCGGTGGAAGTCGTGGAAAGGGACACCAAAGCCCTGCCGGCTGAGCAGAGTGAGGATGGAGCTGCAGGAGAAATGGCAGGTACGAAGTGGTGGGAGCTCTTAGCCCTGTGTCCCAGGGATGGTTTGTTGTTTGGAGAGAGGTGGGTGCAGCCCCTGTTGCTGGGCAGGACCCTCGTGTGAGGTGTTCTGTGGGTGGTGGTACCTGGGCGAGGTCACAGTGAGGCTGAGTCTTGTTTTCTCCATTGTGCTTCCTCTCTGTATTCCCAAAGTTTATGCTGGAAAAACAGAAAGTTCTGGGACCCCTCCCTTAAGTGTAGGGGATGTTTTCCTACAAGGAGATGATGCATTGAGGATACACCACCTTGGCTTAGCCTGTCCTTGGAGCTGGATCTTTTCCTCAGTGGCTGTTCTATATTTGACTAGTGCTGGCATTTAACACACTTGTTTATGGAAAAATATTGCAGCCTCAGGTGCTGACTGAAGGAATGTGGGTCTCCCTGCTGCCATCCTGCTGATGGTGGGATGCACTGAGGTCTGGCTGCAGCCCAGGTGCCACTGCTGAGGGATCCAGCTCAGTTCAGGTGGGAGTCCTGGTTTGGCTCCCAGTGGGCTGTCCCCAGCATGGATAATCCATCAGTGCCATCAACCTGTTTGCTCACGCAGGGTTTCTCACTAGTAAACGGTCCTGGATGATAGATCAAGTAACACCACTCTCTGGTTCCTTTCCAGGATGCCATTTATTATGACTCTTTTTTTAACCTTCTGGTTTTTTTTTTGTTTGTTTTTTTTTTTTTTTTTTTTTTTTTTTTTTTTTAATGCTTCAGCACTTTCCCTTTGTCCCCTGTGTGTGCACTATCAGTGCCAACCAGCTCTGTAGATGGGGAGCACTCTGTGCCTCCACCTGGGAGTGCTCCATGCTGGTGACAAAGGGGGATTTGGGGACAATGTCCCTGCCTACAAATGTCCCCTGAGCTACAGCAGCAGCTGAGGTGACAAATGTCAGTCCAAAGGGTGGAGCAGAGAAAGGCAGAGGGTGTAGAGCACAGCCAAGAATAAAGATCCCGTCTTCACAGGAGGGTATATAGAGATTATAAGAGATTTATCAGGTTGTCATTTGTGAAGGGGTGAGAGGGAGGACAATTCCCATCTGAGTTGTGAAAAATGCCTCTTACCTGAAGACAAATTAATTTATTTTTGTTTTCCTGGGCTGAAGGTGTCATTGAGCTTTAAAAGTTAAAAAAGTATGTGGGTATATTAAACTTGCATAGATAACAAGCCTTAAACCCTCATCCACAACGAGACCTGAATTTGGGTGAAGGAAGCTATATGGGTTTTTTTTTAGTGGTATGTGCAAGAGAAAGACACTTCACTTTTTGAAGTGGGGTTTTTTCCCAATAAAAAAATGTGTCCTCTTGTGCTAGAGAAGTTTTGGTCTCCATCACAGTGATTTTAACATTGTGGCTGTAATCTGAACAATTTATCTTATGCAGCAATCATTAATTAACCCAAATTAATCCACCTCTGTTTTCTGTGCCTTTAATGATGTCTGATTGGTATGTTTGATAGTTAACATGACAAACAGTTATTTCAGAAAAACGTCATTGGAAAGTTCTAAAATGTATAATATAAAATAAAATGAAGTATCAGCTCCCCCTGGACTCAAGCAGCAGAAATAAAGGATTCCTTTGTGGCCCAGTGGGTGCTTAATTCGGTTTTTGCCAGGTGTGTGTCTGGAGACATCAGATATAATCAGGCAGCTTCCCCATGAGTTTCCCTACCTGCTGCATCGTAATGACTGTGTAATTTCCCCCCTCCTTATCCAGTTAATTCTGCAGCTTCTCACACAAGCTGCAATTTGAGTCACCGTGGGGTAAATGTGTGTTGTCTCTGGTGCTGGCAGGGTGCAATCATCCCCAGCCTGTGGGAGCAATCACTCCAGAAAAAATTCCATGTCCTTGAATTAGTGTCGGTGTGTGGAAAGCAGGGGAGTGACCCGATGGATTCTGGGCTGGGATGTGCCGTGCAGAGCACCGGACTCTGGGGGTCAGCACAGCCAAATAAATGAGCACAAGCCTGGCTAGCAAGAGACATTCTCAGTGCAGGGCGACTTCCTGAAAACAGCATTTTTTTTTTTTTTTGGAGGAAAAATTAACATTTTCTTCTCAAGCGCTGCAACTTCACAGTTCCAGCACTTGTGCTGCATTTTCCAGATAGCTTTGGATCAAATGCCCTGTGACAGAAACCCTTCCTGCTCTGTTCTTCAGCTTCATCATATCTGAGCCCCTCATCTGTTGAAATACATTAAAAATAAGCTGCAGGCAAGAAGCTGGAGTTTTTAAGGGACATTTTTTTTTAAGCCACGTAGTTTGTCACCTCTTTTCCAGCATGAGGTGTCTGAAGCAGAAGTGAGCTGAGCCCCAGCTGCTGGGAGGGGGAAGCCTTTAGGTTGATCTTAGGGTCAAAAGCTGTGCACTGTGGAGTTGTAGCCTTAATTAAGCATATATTGATTGCTTGTGACCTCTTAGGGGTGTCCTGAACTGTGCTGTGGACTGAACTGTGTTCATTTTGGAAACCTCACAACAAGAAAGATGCTGAGGTGCAGGAGTGTGTCCAGAGAAGGACAAAGGAGCTGGGGAAGGGTCTAGAGCACAAATCTGATGAGGAACAGTTGAGGGAGCTGGTGGGGCTCAGCCTGGGCAAAAGGAGGCTCAGGGGGGACCTTCTGGCTCTGCAACTCCCTGACAGGAGAGGGGAGCCAGGAGGGAATTGGGCTTTGCTCCCAGGGAACAAGGGACAGGACAAGAGGAAGCAGCCTCAAGTTGTTCCATGGAAGGTTTAGAGGGGATATTAGGGAAAATGTCTTCATGGAAAAGACTGTCAAACACTGGCACAAGCTGCACAGGACAGTTGGAGTCACTCTCCCTGGAGGGATTTAACAGACTTGTGGATGTGGACCTGGGGACGTGGGTTAGTGGTGGCCTTGGCAGTGCTGGGGAAACAGTTGGGCTTGATGAACTCCAAGAGCTTTTCCAGCCTAAACAATTCTATGATTTACCCCCCTTCACAGTCTGATTCTCTGCTAATTCCAATCCCCTCAAAGACCTCAAAGCAGAAGTCATCTCCTACGGATAGAGAAAAGAAAAAGGAGGTTGAGACTGTCTCTCCATCAGGGACATGCCAAGGGATGCCTGGGAAAAAAATTGGTCTTTTGCCTCCTGTATTTACAGGATTGAATCCTGCCAAAGCCTGTGCTGATCCTTGGTTGCAGGTGACAAGGAAGGGTGAGTGAATGCTGCTCTCCATCTGCTGAGTTCTGGGCTTCAAATCTAATGGAAGCAACATTTAAATTTCCAGTCTCAGTGGCATTACCTACAAACTACTCAGCTCTGTAAGCAGCATTCAGTAATTTCCGGAGGTCAGAGAGTGGGATTTGGTTGGGCGTGTACAGGTGGTTGCAGGGCAAAGAATGAGTCTTGGTGGAAATCAGAGTCCCTTATTTGCTTTTCTCTGCCTCCTACCTTGAGGGCTTTTTGATCTGAAACTCAAGAAATGAGGCCCAAGAGGTTGTTGGCATCTCCCTCTTCTATCACAACCCGGAGTGAGCACTGTCCAAGAAGGGAATGATTGCCTGTGCTGTCACTGCCTTGCTGATGAACCAGAAAAGCTTCTATTAGTTTATGGAAATGAGAGTTAGACTTACACAAAAGCTTGACACTATGCCATGTTTTTAATTAGTTTTTTTTTTTTTTTTTTTAAAAGATATGTGAGATGAGACATGCACATGCCACCGGTTCTTAACGTGGCTGGTAAGGAGCAGGTCTTCACTTCTGAAATCGGTGTCTTTCTGCAGTTATCTCATTTTATAATTGCCATTTAAACAAATCAGGAGCAGATTCCTCTAATTCTGCTCTCCCTAGAAAACACCTTTTCCTCTTCAGTGTCCCTGTCGCATTTAATGAGAGTTTGTCTGGTTTTGATCCCAAGGAAATGTAAAAGAATCAGGATCAGTTACTTTAAATGCTGTACATTAGACAGTTTTAGTACTAATTGAGCCCTTTCAATTAAATATTTTTCCTTGACATTTGTTATCTCATGAAGCTACAACTGACTCCCCAAATCCTGTGATTTATGGATGGCATTATTAGAGGAACCTGGTCACATCGTGGCTTCTTGAGGTAATCACTTACTTTCTGAAGCCCTTTTTTTCTCTGTGGGTCAGAAAACAGCTTTACATGAAATGTGGAAAAAAAAAAAGTAACCTTCTCCATTGTCTGATCAACTTAAAACATCCCCTAAACTGTTCAGGAAACTTCAGTATCAGATTTCGACAGATTAACAGATGAGGGTTTGCTTCATCACCTTTGGTAAATCCAGCTTTAATTAATTGACATTTTAATGCTTCCTAAGTGGTCACAGGCTTCAGTATGACTTAATTTAATTTAATTTGCTGGGCATGATTCTGCAGTCATGAAGTCCAGAGCCAAACCCTGTTCTCATCTCTGTTGCAGCAGTGCCAGCCCACCACCAGTCACTCAGAAGTGTCATTAAAAGCTGGTCCAAAGCCCAGATCAAAGCAGTGTAAGGATAGCAGGAGGCTTCACAAGCACTTCATGGGACTGCAGATTTGTAAATAGCTGAGAAGTCGGGATTGTTTCTTTATTTCTTTATTTTTAAGGAGAAAGACAAATTCCCTGTAGGAGTCATGCCTGGTATATGATGCCACCTGGATGCCACCTTGCTGAGGAGCTGAGGGCTTGAGCACATCAGCACAGCTCGCTCCTCCCTATCTCAGTTAAATGCTGTCCCCAACCAGCCATGAGAAACCCCCAAAAGACCTTGAGAAAGTGCTGTTTTGTGACATGCCAGGTGTCTGAGGTTGGCTTTCTAAAGGGATGGGAGAGGAAAACAAGCATAACCAAGTGGTGGGACACCTTTGAATTGCCAGATTCTGTCTCTGTTGTGTCTTTTTCAGAATTCAGTCTTATTTGAATTATCTTTCTTCTCTAAAACAGGTATTATAAACTTAAAATAATACCTACAAATCTTTCTTTCATCAAATACATTTTCAGTTCCACTTCCCATCCTGTATCTGTGCTCCTGTGTCCAGAGAGACACTTCTGCTGCCCTTCTAGTGCAACTCATACTTGTCCTGTTGAATGAAGCTGTAGCTTAAAAGTACACAGAGATGTGCAAAGCATAAGCTGTACAAATGTTAGCACTTGAGTTTGAAGGCCAGTATTAAATTGGCCTGCCTGTATTTGCATGTGTATTCACTTAATTCCTTTCTTTACCAAATATATTCAGTATGGCAGGGGAATGTCTCTCTGCTGTATCACTTCTCACCTACAAGTGGTGTTGCATTAATCTCTACCTCTTGCCAAAGATGTCGATTTACTGAGAAACTGAAATACTGTGCTTATAGCACAACATTTAATTAAGTAATCTAACAACAACAACAACAAAAAATCCCTGTGCTTGATACCTGAGCTGTTCTGGTCACTGTGCCTCCAGCTGGAACATGTACAGGTATTTTTATAAACTGTGTGCTTGTTCTTCTTAATGGTCACAGAGCACAGGCATGTTCTGTGTGGCAGTGAAATGGTCTGATAATGTTCTGTTCACACAGTACCTTTTTCTTCTGATGGTGCTGTACTGGAGTTTTTATAAGCTGATACAGGAGTAGGCTGAGACTCTTCATTTTCATGTGCTAGTTCTTGAAGGGCATCTGGAAGGGTAGGGGAGGGTGGGGGAATCTCATCAAAGCCACGCTCTGCAAGCAGGTGCTGTTCAGTGTTTCAAAGATAAATGGTGTGACACCCCATTTTACTCAGTCATGGCTATAATGAATGATAATTTGATGAGCTTACCCTGGAAGGGCTGGAAGGACTGTGCCAGCCTTGATGTGGTGACTTTGCTGTGTCTTGGATTCATGACCTGTGTCACTTGGACAGAGCTCCTCTGGAGCTCATCACCTCCATGGTTTCCATCCTCTACTTCCCTCTGTCTGTCTGTCTGTCTGATCTCTTGGACACCTTCCAGAGGGGTTTATTTAAAACAGTAACAGTGGGATTGGAAGATGGGGGAATCATGTGCAGCCTGGCAATGCGAGGCACTGCCAAGAACAACTGTGGGATCAAAAGAGACAGGTTGCTTACAAGGCCCTGACTCACAGGAGGATTAGCCAACTCAGCTGCTGACAGCAGTGTTTCAGCAAGCAAAACTCTCGCCCCAGGGGCCAAGCAGCCCCTACAGCAGCAGATCCCAGCTTTTCCAGCCGTGCAGGGAGGATGCTCACCCAGCCATGCCCTGGCAAAGCTCTCCTTCAGGGTCCATCTCAAGGCAGTTCACTATGCTCAGCATGTACTGAAATTGCAATCAAATAATTAAGTACTAATATTAGTATAATTTAACTATTACATGAATATTTCAAGGATTCAAAGGAAAAATTATTTCTTGATCCTCGTGGCGCAATAATGCTTCTCAAAACTCTCCAGTAGAGAAGGGAAAACCTCACCAAGACTGTAAAAATTGCTAAATGCTGCCTTTAACCATGCAGTGTTTTAGCACACAGAGGATGAAATTAATGAATCTGATGATAATGAAGGTATAACTGAACAAGATGAGTGTTATGCCTAAAGGTTAATTATCAAGTAATTCAAGGGAGGCTGCTGTTATAAGATTAAGATTTGTGTGATAGTATTTTTTACCTTTATACGAACCAAAATCCAACACTTAATAAAGGAACAGCAAATTAAATAAGAGGAAAAGAGAACACAGTGAGATTCCCCCTTGCTCCATATCTTTTGCAGAGCAGGTAGATCTGATTAGCTGCATTTGTTGCCCAGGAAAACATGGTGTTTCTGCAACCTGAAACGCAGGAGGGGATCCTTGGGGAAGGTGGGATCTTTCCAAGGCAGACGAAGGGATGGTGTTTGGAGATGTCATCCCTGGTACAGGGCACAGCAGGGGTGATGGGGAGAGCCTGGGTTGGAGCTGCAGGCTCTTGGTCAGTGAATTTTAGTGAAGCCAGGAAGGTTCCCACTGATGGTAACCCAAGCTCAGTGCTCTGGAGTTACTCTGCAAGTAATTCCCATTCCCTCTATTCTACCTGTACCCTTTGGAAGAAGCCAAAAGCAGGGCAGGAGTGGAGATGTCTGAAAGTAGGGAGTTTGTGAGAGAAAGGCTCAGCAAAAGAGAAGAAATGGAGTTGTTTACTGTGAAAGGGGGGTGGTTCTGGAAGCTGTAGCCTTGGTTTGGGCTGTCCCTGGAGGCACCTGGTACCTCAGCTACGAACCAGGCAGAAATCTGCATGCACTTCCAATTTCTAAGAGCTCACACTCGAGCTAATTTCACAGTGCTGGAATAACCATTTACAGTTCAATAGAAATGCAGTTTGAAGGTTGGGAGGAGAGACGTCAGTTTGCAGAGCAGTCACTGTTCCTGTAACACCGAGTTAGTCAAGGATTATCTTGGGCTGTTTAAAGAGACTGAATCCATCAGCAGACCGAGGCTTCTTCCACCACAAGATGGCATCAGTTTTGCAGAGATAGGCTTGCAAAAGGACCTTTCTAGGCTGGAGACGAGAGTGGCTTTAAGATAAAACCATTTTAAAACGAGTAGCAGACTGGTACGAACCAAGCGTTTGTCACACAGGTGTCTCTGGGAAAATTGTTACCTGAAAGCTCATTTTGGATGCACAAAACGAAGCCACTCCTGATCAGATTAGCCAGTGCAGCTGCTGGTTGTGATACTACAGGCATGAACAAAATTTTGCTTGCAAATGCTTTTTTTTTTTTGCTGTTTGTACACACCAGATCGAAGTGGGTTTATATTTCCCTCACAGGCCTCCTAAAGCCTATCAGTTGTTTGCTGTAAACTAGCAACAATATTTACCCTCATTTAACACTTGCCTAATGTGTTCTAAAGGTCTTTATTGCTGTTTGCTTTATGGAATTCCTCATTTAGATGCTCGATGCTATACATATATTTATTTTCCCAGTCCTTTTTCAGGGCTCTGTTTTTGACTCTGTGTGGCCTCATAAAGTTTGCTTACAGTAAAATCCCTCTAAGTAGTCATGCTACCTCCTAAATCTCTGAGCAATCATCAGCTGGCCTGGGATTTATATTAATTCAGGTAATTTTGTAGTCGCTATTATAAATCCAGTAGTAATCTACTGGTAAACTCAGGATACCTTGGTACTTCTTGGTCTTCTGGTAGAAAGTGGGTAGTCTTGGTAGCCCTTCCAGTCCAAGCAACGTGTGAAGCAATGCAGAGTCTCCATTTAATTGCACCATAAACTGCCTGTTCTTCTGTTCCTCGTGCAGCTCCCAAGTTATTTCTGCAGCACGAAGTGCCTTTGTAAGTGCCGTTGTCGCAGCGATGGCTGTGCTCGATCTTGCATTTACTTTACACGTGAAATTCCTCTGCAGCCCGTGGGTATTTGAGCCAGCAGGCTTCCCAGCCTGGGCTGTGGTTGCTGTTTATGGCAGTATTTCAGTCCCCTGAAAAACAAACCCAAAAGATATTGCTGGACTTGATGTGTCTTCTCATGGCTGATACCGGAGGGTTAAACAAGATTAGGCTGAGAGAGAGGTGAAGAAGTGCTTTATCAAAACACAGCCACTCGGGAACACTTACACCCTGACTCCACAATTAATTTTATCTAGATGGTCCCTGACAAAATTGCCAGATTAGCAGTTGGAGATGACCAGGAGGTGGTTGTATCCACAGAGTAGCCTGATGGCTGCTAATGGAGGAGTTAATTACAGAGGAGTTTGCACTGAGAAGCACTCCAAGAGCCGAGGCACTGGGGGGGGATTTCAGGCTGTTCTCAAAATGTTTTATCTCCTCACCATTTTGCATCGAGGGAGCATCAAAGCAGTGACAGGAGTGTGCCACATTAAGGAAAACCAAGTTTTTCTAGCCCAGAGCTGCCTGTCTCAGCACAGCGTGGTTGGGGTGTTGACTATTTTTCCCATTTTCTGCAGAACACGAGAGGGGATTGAGCTGTGGTGGCTTTCTGTTAACCTGCAGCTGTGAATCCCCCGTGGTCTCCTCTGGATCTAACTCTGCTGGCCCAGGAGCACTTGCTTGAGAGAAAGAAATGTTCATTTCTGGTGCCTGCTACCCTCCTTCCTGCAAGCAGAAGTGTTTCTTTTCACTTTTTTAAACTTCCCAGGAGGTAGGGTTTTTGTCTTTTGATCTCAGAAATGTTTGACAACTCATGTTACCAGCCTTTTGTTTGAAATGTGCTGGAAATAGTTCCATTATTTTGCCTTAAAACTACCTTCCTTTCATAGTTCATTTTAACTTCTTAATCATACAGATGTAGCATATCATTATAACATTTTTGCTCAACATGTCCACTTAATGGCTTTTTACTCTTTTTAGTTCAAGGCACTTCTTAATTAGTCCTTCATCAATTTATTTTAAGCGTTTCTTTCCTCTACTTCTTTGGAAAAGTAGATAAGAAAATAAAAAGGCAAACGATATAACTGCAGACTTGGTATTTTTGGCATCAAAGCTCCTTAGCAGAAAACCTGCAGGACTGCAGAGCCTGGTGTATGAAGGCAACACCTCTGGCAACTTTGCACGAGTTTTAGACACAGTTTGGGAGAGATTTGGAGCTGTGGTATGAGGTAGGGCAGGTAATTTGACTCTTCCCCCTCTAAACATTCAGCTTTTTTTTTTTTTTTTCCATTTGGATAACTCTACTCTCATACATAGTGTATTCCTAAAATTGTATTCACATTTGAGCTGGCAGAACACGGTCCCCTGGGTTGGAATCAGTGCTGCTTACAACCAAATAATCCAGTGGGTCACCCCTGTCTCTGAGAAGCTCACCCAGAGTCTCCTTAAGAAAGTGGAGGAGAACTATCAACAGATGCCCCTCTACCAACCCTTCACCAGTTTGCTGGAGATGCTGTTGCTCTGGTGGAATTGTTGTGATGTTTTCCTCTGTTGTGGGTGAGGATGAGAAACAAGAGGATGTTTCCTTGCTAATTAGCAAGGGGCTTGGCCAGCCTGTAAGTTCTTGGAACCGACTTTAAAGCGAGAGATAGGCATATGTTTGTGATTATTTTATGCCAGCATTATTTTGTAATGGGATTGTTGGCAGAAGCTGTTATTGGGAGTTTTCCCTGGATTAATTTAAACTGAGGCTCATCAAATTAAATTGAACTAAGGGATGAGGCACTCTGAGGTCAATACCCTTCCTCTGTTCCCAGTCCCACATCCAACGTGGGTCTCTGAGGCCCTTGGCCAGGAGCCCTGCTCCAGGCTTGGCAAAGTTTTCTCTATTTGTGAGAACAAAAGCTGTAGTGAGCTCGGAGCAGTCCCCTCAGACTGGCAGCGTGCACAGAGCAGGCAACAGATGCTGCTATTTTTTTGTAAACCCAAAACCTAATTATGCTTGCAGCAGTCCCAGAAGTCAGGGGAAAAAAAAAAAAACCTTCCAACCTGATTTATGGATTCCAGTCATCACTGCTGGGGTTTAAAGCAGAGGAATATGTTTTTCGGTGATGCTCCCCCTCCTCAACCTCAGGAAAGCAGGCAGGAGTGTTACCTGAGTGGGGATGATGGTGAGTTTGGTGCCTTCCCACAGCAGGGCTGTGTGTTGGGGCTCTCCACATCGCCAGTGGGAAGCTGAATTCTCACAGGGAACTTGGCATTTAGCAGACATGCAGGTGTGGACCCAACAGCTTCATCTGGTAAGTGTTTAGGGCTGATGAAGTCTCTTCTGAAGAGCTTTTAGGGATATCTGTCATATTAGAATGTCAAAATCCACTGTGAATCTGCACAGCTTATTCTTTTTGCTGTTTCTTAGCGGGTATTTCTTGTTTTCATTTATACTGAACAGGCACTTTATTCTTATCACAGTACCTGCCCTGCAAGCCTGGATAGCTGGAGTACCTTGACCCATTTCTGATCCAGCTTTCCAGGGACTCAGAGCCAAAAATACAACAACTGCTTTTCACAAAACCAGAAATTCTAAAGTGAAGAGCAGTTTTTTCCCCATCAGGATACAATTTGTGTGCCCCTGAAGCAGGAGAAAAACCACACAGAGGAGAGACGAGGCATTTCCCCTCTCTTGAAAGGGCTTTTTGCCTCTGATATGCTTCCAGTTCAACTGGACCAACAGCCCATGGCAGCTTTTAGACGCTTCTGTGTCTCTGCAGATCTCATTTTAGGTGCAGAAGAATGTTAACAGATTTTTTTTTTTTTTTTTTTGCTTGTCAAGACTAAAAGATTTATATTCTGTGCGCTCTGCTTGCGGACGATGGAGAGATGTTACAGCCTGCAGACAAGTTCATTTGAATTGTGCTTGCAAACGGGATTAGCAACAAGTAGAAAGCAAAACAGTCCCTTTGGGTGTAGATGAGGTGAAGGGGTGTGGAAATAGGGCTCTGAGGGGTAGCTGGGGGGTGCCTCTGTGTGCTGGGGAGGTCTGAAAGCCCCCAGGATGGCAGGAGCATCTCCTCCAGCACGGGCTGGATCTGGAGGCAACAGCAAACAACAGCTTCTGACATGAGCACTTGAGGCTCAGTCTCCTGTTCCTTTGGAGGGGTTCAGGCCCTGGAGAGCTGGAATCACTCAGATGATGTAGCTGAGGCAGGGGCTGATGTTGGAGGGTATCAGCAGTTTGGGGTTAACAAACACTCTGTGGTGACTGTGGACCTGCTCGTTAGGTGTCTGTCTGCCCAGGAAAGCTCTGGGTGTGTGGCTGTGTCTATGGCAGTGGCGTGGTTTGGGTGACAGTGTGTTTTTGAAGCGATTCCCCTGCCTGTCCCCCTTCCTTTTGCCTTGGTTTGCATTGCAGGGACATCTCCAGGAGCAGAATCCCTTCAAATGAACCCAGCTGGCACATGTGGTGGGAATCTGCTCCAATGCTAACGTGCATTCAGAGAAGGGCTGCTCTGTCACAACCCCTGGAACATCTGTGCTGGTCCATTCCCCTGCAGCAGCTGTTCCACACTGTCTATCCCATCACAGAGCACCTCCTTACGTACAGCCCTGACATGACTGAAGTAAAACTGATGCTGAGACATCAGTCGGACAAAGCAGGATCAGCCCTTTTAGTACCCTGGCATGATTTGTTACAGATGAGTCCTTCCAGCAAATCCTGAAGATTTTCAGCAGCTATAAGCTTTTTATAGCAAATCAGATTTTTCTGTCTGCTTGACTGGTTATAAACACACATTTCTCAAGTTGGCTTGTTACGCTGTGTCAGTGCTAAAAAGAAAACCCACGATGAGCAGTGGAGTGTTCATCTGTGTCTGCTTCTGATGACTTATGCCTCCTGCAAATGAACACAGATAACCAAGGAAAATCAGTTTGCATGTGAAATCCCAAAGACAAAAACTCGAGCAAAGCAAAGCAACAGGTTGGCCTGTTGACAGGAAGCAGCCCTGGAAGCAGGCTGACCGTGGTTGCTGCTCTGAGACAAGCATTTTGGAGCAATAAAGAGCTTATGGAACATTATTAGGGAGCTGCCTGGATTCCAGGAGTGCCACCATCCACCCATCAGGGTGGTGTTGCTGCCTTTCAGCGTCTGCATTCAAAAGAATCGATCCAGACCTTCAGTGTGAGCCCTCACCCAGGGATAAGCAACGCTAATTAATTTTTCCTCGTTTCTCCTGAATCTAGGTGATTTGAGAAACGCCTTATTGATCGCTGTTTTGATAAGTTAAATTTGTGTTTCGTGTGCTGTGAGCACAAGGAGAAGGGTTTGCCATTAAGGGCTGCTGTGGGTGGCAGTCTGGGAAGAGAGGAGTGCCCCACTTAGTGCTCCCTTCTGCTTGTTGGCATTTTTATTGCTTTCATGCTTTACTGCAGGTATTCTGGCTGGATTCAGTGATCACAGCTACAAAGGCTCTGAAGCAGTTTTTTGCCATTAAAATCTAGCAGTGTAGCTGCAGTACAGGCACAGCAGATTTAGGAGATCTCAGCTCTAGTCTGAGATACAGCCCAGACACAGACATGGACCAAAACAGATTTACAACTAAACCCCACTGTGTTCCATAAAACTATGAATTTTTCCAGTTGAAGGCATGGAAAAGATACAGTTGTCTGTCTGACTGGTGCAGTGCAGGTGGGGAAGAGCCTGGGTTTGGTTTGGTTTGACTTAGGGTGGTCTACGTGCCTAATCTGCAGGTGATAGTTGTGTGGGATTTTTGGACCACGTGAAGCAGAGAACCTTGGGCACTCTAATGCAATTTATTGAAAAAAACACACATTATTTCCACAAGGCAATGAAATGAATTGAATGAGCAATTCACATTTAAACCTCTGCCCTCCCCATCCCCACTCTGTGTAAGAGGGAAATCTGGAGGAATTCGAGGAAAATGTGATCTGGCAGGGTAAGGCTTCTGGCCAGCAGCCACGCTTTAGGGTTATCACCTGTAGGATGTGAAATGCCAAAGGGAGAGGCTGTCACTTATAATGTGGAATTTTGACAGGGGAATGCCCTGTGCAGCACAGACAACTCTTTCCATGGGGCCTTTCAGGCTGCTCGGCAGTTTATGAGCATTTTATAGCAAGTCAAACTTCTTCACCCATCTGCTTGTCTGCTTATGAAAATGTGTCCCTCTGGTGCTCTTGTTATGTTTCATTACTGTAAAATAAAATAAAAAGTCAACACACCTTGCCCAATGGTTTAGTCACCTGTGTCTGCTTTTGATGGAGTGCATCTCCTGTCAGACACACACACAGATGTTCTGGACATAAATATCACCCCCTGTTACAGCTTCCAGGCCTCTAATAACCAAATCAGCTTCATTAATGATGAGTGTAAAGGTAATGCTTTAAAGACACTGTGTATATCAAATAAATCTTGTGTTATAGCATCATCTGCACTCCTTCAGTGCTGTTGGGTTGGGTCACTCCTCATGGGGGAAAGAGGAGCACAGCAGTCCTGATCCCTAGGGACAGCCTAAATTGTTTGCTCTGATTTTGTCTCATTGTCTTTAAGGTCTTAAAAATTAAGAACACGTTTTATTGGGCTGTGTATAAACAGCCAGCTCCCAGCGGGAAAGTTAATTAAAATAGCCAGTGCATCATGTTACCAACCATCTGAGTAGGGCTCAGTGCTCTCTGCTCTGTGGCCTCCTGAGCATAATTCAGGTGCAGATGCAGGTCCATACAGACAGTGAGACTTAAGATACTCTCAGCTGTAGGTTTATCACGTGGTAAAAGAAAATGTTGTTTATCGTAAAGATAAAATTGTCTGGGGTCTAGCCCAATGCTGTGCTAAGGAACAAGACACAACTAGTGAAACTGTGACTCAGATTAAATACTAATCCCTTCCCCTCTCCCTTTTCCTTTCTCTTTCCCTATATTGAATTATTTTCAAGTTTCCAGGCCCACTTGCTTGAGGTTAAACAGGTTCAATTTCCTTTTGGTTTTTCTTTCTGTGCCTTTCCATCAACTTAAAGGTTTTTCTTTTTATTTTCCTTCCTTTGCCAGCGTTTCCTTGGCTGGTCAGTGGCTAAAGTGGATTGTTAAGGACTGATTTTTACAGCTTTTTAGGTAGGCACCAATATCCACTCACACTGCCTTCAAATCCATACTCTGCCTCCCTATAATTCCTTGTCATCTTACTTGGGAACAGTGTCCTCTCCATCCCAAGCTGGTTTGCAGCTGATCAGCTGCCACATTTCTGTGGCTGGTAAAGTGATTCCTATGGGAATTGAACTTGGAAAGTGTGATGCTTTTCCTTCAGTATGACAGGCAAGCAGAGGGGTTACTGTGGGAATGCAAGATGGTTCTGTATATCCCTCATCTTGTAAGGAAAAGTCCCTGTGAGTGATCCAGTCGTTCAGGTGTTTTTGATGGGACAAGTTTTATTTCACTGGATTTATTATCAAGCTGTTCTTATAAAACTGCTGTGGGCAGCAGCTCACACCTTAAAACCAGACAGTACGAAAAATCAGCACTGCAGTACAGAAATATACCCACCCTGCCCCTCCAAATCCCCATTTTTCCTTTAAATAACCCTCCCATAATACAGTAATAACCAAAGCCGTGGTCTCTGTGACACCACAGTCCTGCTCTGTGCTGTATTCTGGTACAGTAACTCTCTTTCTGCAGGGGGTATCTCAGCAAGTTATGACTGTGCTCTGTTTATTTATAGGCTCAAGATTAATGTGGTGTGGATGAAAAACATGTTTACTTACAGGATTGTGACTAATGTAGTGTGTGCATTCTACATCAGTAAACATTAATGAATATTCCCCCGTGAGAGGCTGAATAAGCGACTCGACTGTTCCCACGTGAGAGGGTGAGTGCTGCAGTGGTGGCACAGGGTGGTTCTGGCTCATCACAGGAGGATGGAGCACTGGACCTGCTAGGGAGGCCAGAAGCTGATATTCCTTTAGTAAATTATGACTTGGGGTGCTGAAATGCTTATTGAGATCAGCCAGGGGTGACATTAAACCTGTGGGATGGCACCAGTAGCGAATAATCCATTTTGTTCATGTAGTGCCCTTCAGATGTAAAACATTTCTAAGTGCTTGACAAATAGCTGAAATGGAGTGTTTGGGGACTGTGATAGCAGTTATAGCAGTCATTATGAAATGAGATGGAAAGCAGTGAAAGCAGCACCACCACCAAGGCATAGCCCAGTCCCGCTGTCTCGACCCAGGCCCTGCTGCATTTGCCCACAGGCAGCACACAGGCTGAGCTGCTTGTCTCAAACCTTACAGCATCTCCATTTCACACAAAAGTCTTGGCAATGCAGGAGAAAGAAGTTACAGAAAATCCTGAAACCCTGAATGAGAATTGGAATGAGTCACCAGAGAGCACAGCTGCATTTATCTACTCGCATCAGAGCCGGACAGTCACGATAAGGCAGGGAGGTCTCGTCTGAAATGATGTCCCTCTCAGCTCAGCACCCCTGTTATCTCTGTGCAATGCAGATGCCTGTCCAGGATTGGCACCTGATGGCTTCCAACCCCCAGCAAGAGCTGTTGTCTGAGCTATTCTTCAGCTTTCTTTTCCCCTGACAGCTTCCCAGCCATCCTACATGTTTGAACTCCTCAAGTAGTTTTGTGTGCAGGTCCTGCAAATTCATCTCGATGCAGGAGCATGGACTGGTCTTGAAAATACAGGACAGGGGCATGTGCTCTATTTGACAGACTAAAGTGATATATTTGTGTATCAAATACTGGCTGAGGGAACCCCACCAGACCCTCCTCAGCTGAAAGGGAAAAGCATCTTTGGCTGTAGCTCGTGTGTGACCTTGGGGTATCATCTGCAAGGGGGTCTGGCTGGCAGATGCAGCCTGGGATGGTGGATGCATCTTTTTTGCACTCTCTT